GGCTGCAGGGTGGACATGCTTTTTCCTGTCTTCCAGTATTGCTGTCATACTCCAATTAGCTAAGGCAAAGGAAAAAAATGTCTCTGTGGAGATCACTACATGATGGGACAACTTTTTGTCTCCTACTCATTCAACATCCCCTACTCAGCAGGGAGGGAGTGGACGTTTAGACTCTCACATCCCTGCATAGAGAAGTCAACGGAGTCTGATGACTCTGACTTCAGGAGGTGAGTGAAAAATCTGCTTTGGGTTTTTGTCTGAAGTTTAAAGGAGCTAGCTGAAGTACTGAACCCATGAGGGGGTAGGGTTTAGCAGCTCACACAGCTTCATACTGAAATCTGGAATGTATTCACTCCCCCCCCCCACTTCTGGCTGAATTGTCTGCATGCGTATGCATGTATGTATATACACATGGGCACATGCCGAAGTCTATTTCCATTGAAACTAAAGAGAGCACAAAAAGGATTTCTGCACCCGGTGTACCTATACAATTTTATTTTTTACAGGTTCAGCTGTGTGTCTGCAGCGTATGCATGTGTTGGGCTTCGGCATGCAATGTGTGGAATGAGCATAGGCTAGGGACGGGAAGCCTTCTTGCAAAACTGCACCTGCTCAGTGAGACTGGTATTCAGACAATCGCTAACCTTTGTACAATTTCTTGTCTCCAGCAGTAGAATAAAGCACAGCAACCATTTCCCCATCTGTAATTCCATAAATTGTGCAAAATGTTGTTGTTGTTGTTTAGTCATTAAGTCGTGTCTGACGCTTTGTGACCCCATGGACCACAGCACGCCAGGCCCTCCTGTCTTCCACTGCCTCCCGGAGTTGGGTCAAATTCATGTTGGTAGCTTCAGTGACACTGTCCAACCATCTCGTCCTCTGTCATCCCCTTCTCCTCTTGCTTTCACACTTTCCCAACATCAGGGTCTTTTCCAGGGAGTCTTCTCTTCTCATGAGATGGCCAAAGTATTGGAGCCTCAGCTTCAGGGTCTGTCCTTCCACTGTCTCCTGGAGTTTGGTCAAATTCATGTTGGTAGCTTTGGTGACAAAATAGCTCTGTGCAAAAATCACTTTCTTTTCCTTTGTGAAACAAACACAACAGAAGCACAAAATGATGAACTGTTTGAACAAAAGGACACAAATCTCTTGCCCCTCCCCACTAAATCTAATATTTCAAAAGTCCAACCAACTGAGACATGGCTGCCATGGGTATGCAACATTGGTGCAAGCTACAGAACCTGTGCAAAAATCTTTTCGACCGTGTCAGAATATATTACGCCACCTTCATCTCTTGTTGTTGTACATGAGAACGAGACAAGCAGTTCCTAAGATGGGTGGGTGGATAAATCCGTATTCTTTCCCATATGTTTTTTCTTTATACATAAAACATCTGAGGGGGAATGGGCAACCAATGGAGATCATCAGTGGCTCAACCATCTTTCGGCTGATCTCATTGCTTGCGTGGGTGCTGGAGGGAGGTGGCAGAAACTAGTGGCTCTGAACTGGTGGAGCTATGAGGAAAGCCTTATGAGGAAAGATTGAAAGAACTGAGCATGTTTAGCCTGAAGGGAGATATGATAGCAGTTTTCAAATACTTTTCAAATACTTCGCAGGTACTCATACAGAGGAGGGACAAGATCTGATCATCCCAGAGTGCAGGACACGTAATAATGGGCTTAAGCTAGAGGAAGCCAGATTTTGGCTGAATATCAGGGAAAATATCTTAACTGTTAAAGCAGTATGGCAATGGAACCAATTACCTTGGGTGGTGGTGATTGCTCCAGCAAGAGAAAATTTGACAACCATCTGTCAGATCTGCTTTGGTCTGGATTCCTGCATTGAGCAGGGGGTTGGACTTGATGGCCTTATAGGCCCCTTCCAACTTTATGATTCTGTGAGTCCACTTTGGGTTTTAGTACCGATTTTAGAAGAGCTGACTAAGTGCTGAACTCTATTCCCCAAATCAGATCAGTGCACCATTGGGAGCCTGCTGTATCACAATATTTCATCAGTTGAGGATGAAGGGAATGATCTGGCAGTGAATCATCTGGCTAAGCGACATGATTGTTCTCCATACGGCAGGTGTGACAATATTTTTTCACTCCTCACGGTGTACTCCAATTTAAAGCTACCTCTCCGGCTTTTAAATGTTGGCAGGGCGGCTTCCTCAGGCTGTTTCAGGGATGAACACGACGATCTGACAATCAAGATAATGCACTGAAATGTATCCATTATGCCAGCAGCATTCTGTAGAAAGGTTATGTGTCTGGAATTCCGGACAGCAAATGTCAAACAAACACATACACTTCTTTTCAAAAAGAAGGAGGATGAAAAAAAAACACCCTACAGTAATCCAGGTGCTTTAGTGAACTGCAGATACATTCCTGGTTCTTATGCCTGCTCTTTGGATTAAAGAATTGCAACAACAGGCATCTGTCTGATTTATGACATGTTTTTGCAGGAGGACTGATTCCTACTCCCCCTGCACCTCAAATAAAGAGAATCATCTTTTGAAAGTGACACAAAAGCCATATCCATGAGAAACTCTAAGAATTCATGGTGAGAAGTAAGTGAGATCTGTTTGCACAGAATTGAAAATAAACATTTGTAAAGTCAGGGTGCAGAGGACCATTATCTTCTTAGAAGTTCAGATCTGCAGAGCTGGAAGGGACCCTATAGATCAGGGGTCTCCAAACTTTTGACCATGAGGGCCACACCGGATATTTTTAACATCTTTGATGGCCAAAGGAACAGGAACGTGTGCACACAAACACATGCACACACATGCATTGATGTCTGCATGCACACACTCATGTCCCCCACCTTTGGCCATCCATACTCTCTCTCTCTCTCTCTCTCTCTCTCTCTCACACACACACACACACACACACACACACCATGTGCATACCATCATGCACACACACAGAGAGAGATGCCTGCACACATGCATGTATCCACCCACACCCACACCCACATGGACACCTGCACACACACACACACACACACACACACACACACACACGTATGCATGTACAGACTCATGGATGCATGCATGCCCCCCTGCCCCCACATACAAGCACAGATCCACGCTTGTCCGCTTGATTCCCTGGCAGACAGAAAGGTCACTTTGAAGGAGATCACTCCCATTGAAACAATGCTTTTCACTGGGACCAGATACAGTTTTTTTTGCTGCCATTTGATCTCACCCTTAGAAGGCTCCTTATGATCCAGAAGCTGAGAATGCAGATTTCATAGAAAAACTTTGAGAAGTTATGTATTGGCTGAAATCCTGTTGTTTAGAGCAGTAACTACAGTGCGTCCATTGGATCATTGAGGATTTGGTGGGTGAACTTTTACATGAGATGCCTGATTTGGCTACAGTAATGCACGCCTTAATTGCATCCCACTTGGAACACACTGTATATGGGGCTGCCCTTGAAGATGGTTCAGAAATTTCAACTGATTCAAAATGCAGCCACCAGACTACTGACTGGGGCCAGTTATAGGGAGCATATAAACCCCTCTGCTACAACAACTAAACTGGTTACCAATCCATTTCTGGGCCTAATTCAAAGTGTGGTACATTACCTATAAAGCTCTATAGGGCTTGAATCCAGGCTATCTAAAGGACCATATCTCTCCATATGAGCCATCTTGGCACTTAAGATAATCAGAGGAGGACCCCCTCTCGGTTCCATTGTCAGTGCAGGCACACTTGATGGGGCACACATACTGGTTCTCCTAGAAACATCAGTCACACAACGCAGGGGAAAGAATTTTCTATCTTTGTGACTGTGTCTTTTTGTGAAGGGATCATGTTAGCATGAATAGAGGGAGGCTGCTATTTGCACCATTTTGATTTTCTTGGGATAAAATGACTATGCATTGGAAAATATTTCCTTCACAATTGGAAATGTGTGGTCTTCCAGATATTGTTGGGAGTACAGTTCCCATTAGCCTTAGCTAGCGTAGCCAGTGGTGATGGAAGATGGGGGCTGGAGTCCAGCAACATTTGGAGAATCACATATTCCTCAACCCCATTCTAGACTATAAAGCTACATTTGTTTTCCATGTTCTGTAGACTAGCTGTTCCACTTAGAAGCACAAGAGGTTCTCACGGGCTTCAGAGATGCAATAGCGAGCCCAGCTAATGGACTGGTTCAGAAGTCAAGAACTCCTGTTGGCAAAAGGAAGAAAAAATGGGACTGAAATAAGGGGAATAGTAGTAGATCAGAGAATTGAAAACAAGGTGTATTTTCTTGCAGATCTTACAAATACTCCAAACATGATTTGACCTAAAAATTAAAAAAGGATACTATATGGAATATTAAGAGGTTGCTAGGATGTATGGAGACACATGTGTATGTTTTATGGGGTGAAATCTGATTTTCCCCTAAATGTAAGGTTATATGTTGTGGTTATATGCCATCATGTCACCCCCAACTTATGGCAACCCCATGAATGAACAATCTCCAGAATGCCCCGTCCTCAACTGCCCTGTTCAGCTCTTGTAAACCCAAGCCTTTATTTGGTCTACATTTCATATTTGGTCTTTCTCTTTTCCTCCCACCTTTACCAGCATCATTGACTTTTCCAGAGAATCCTGCCTTCTAACGATGTGCCCAGATTAAGACAGCCTCAGTTGCATCATTTTTGCCTCTAGAGACAGCTCAGGCTTGATTTGATCAAGGACCCACTTGTTCTTTTTTTCCTGGTTGTCCAGGGCATCTGCAAAGCTCTCCTCCAGCACCACATTTAGAATGAATCAATTTTGTTTCCTGTGAGCAATGCACCCTCTAATTTTTCAGCCTTGCTGGGCGGGGGCTTCGCCTCTCACACGCACAACTTCAGCCATTGTTTCCTGTGAGCAATGCACCCTTTAATTTTTCAGCCTTGCTGGGCGGTGCTTCGCCTCTCACACGCACAACTTCAGCCCTGCGTACACGTGTGTCTCCGCCATGCACAGGGTCCTGTCACGACCAACACCAAATGTCATTGCTGTGTGGAGGAGGAAGAGAGCTGCGCAGAGGGAAATGGAGTCGTGCACCTGGCTTAGCGGGAACTTTGCCTGTAAGCTTTCTTCTCTGTCCTGATTTTGGGTTATATAGGACAATAATAGACAATAGCTGCTATGAATCACAGCTTTGGTGTATGTGTTTGTTTACTTTCTCTTAAAACAAAGAGACTTATTAGAAGCGAAAACAAAGAAGAGCAGCAACTACCCAAACAAGAGAGAGAGAGAGAGAGAGAGAGAGAGAGAGAGAGAGAGAGAGAGGTGTTAAGATGGCTCCAGATCCCTTTGAACTATTTAATGGGGAATTGCATAACAAGTGCTGTGAGGTTGCTAGGTTTTGCCACGTCGCTGCCTCGCTGCGTTAAATATTAACAGGACATGCACTTTCTGAGGTATTGTTCAAGCGCCTGGATACTGCGGAGCCAATCATCATCAGATATGTTGCCATGGCAGCAATATCACTGATTCATTTCATTTACAATGAAATCCACACAGCACTCTGCTAAATGGATCTATAAAAATGAATCACGTAAACTGGGGGAAAACAATCCTTGATATTTCATGTTTGCTGTTACATATGCTTCCTATCTTTCTGCGTTTAAATACTAATTTGTACAATGTCTGTCTGTCTGTCTGTCTGTCTGTCTGTCTGTCTGTCTGTCTGT